CAGGGACAAGTCTGACAAAATATTACATTCAGACAGAAATTAAAGAAAAAAAAGGTATAATGAAAAGAAGAACATAGTCCATTCTCTGTGACACTTTCAAATGATCAAATGCCAGCATAATCAGTATACCCAAGGGAGAAGGCTGAAAGAATAGAAAACATGATCAGTTAAATAATAGCAGAAATTTCCCCAAATCTCGGGAAAAACCTAGACTTCCAAATACCGGAGGTATTTAGGACCCCAAGTAAAGATGACCAGAAAAGATGCTCTCCATGACATAGTCAGAATGTCAAAAGTACAGGACAAAGAAAGAAGATTAAAATCTTCAAGAAATATAAGTGCCAAGTCACATTTAATAGCATACTTCTCAGCAGAAATTCTAAACGCCAGGAGAACATGATATATTCGAAGTTCTGGAATAAAAGAACTGCCAAACAAGATTGCTTACATAGCAAAATTATCCTTCAGAATCAAAGTTGAAATAAAGACCTTCCAATCTCAGCATAAACTAAGGAAATTCATGACCACTAAACAAGCATTACAAAAGATATTTAAGGAAATTCTACATCCAGAAGAGGAAGAAAGATAAACACAATCACAAGAGCATGTTAAAAAAAAATAAATCTCTCTAGAAGAGTAGACATGCAAATGAGAAATAGAAAAGAATCAAACATTATCAATACAGTAAACCATCGAACTTCTAAGATGAATACAAGAAAAAGAAATGGAACATAAAATATTGAAAACAACCAGAAGAAAAACAAAACAACAGGAGAACATACTGTATGTAAATGGTCTTAATTCTCTAATTAAAAGATACAGACTAGGGCTGGGGTTGTGCCTCAGTGGCAGAGCACTTGCTTAGCAAGTGTGAGGCACCATATATAAATAAATAAATAATAAAAGTACATCAACAACTAAAAAATATTTTTTAAAAAGGTACAGACTAAATGGATTAAAAAACAAGACCCCAAAATATGTCACTTGCAAGAAACACCTCACTTGTAATGAAAAACACACACTGAAAGGATAGAAAATGTTACTCCAAGCAAATGGAGTGGGAAAGAAGTAGGAGTAGCTATACGTATATCTGACAAAAAGACGTTGACACAAAATCAGTTAGAAGAATACAAAGGTCACTATAGATTGATCAAGGGAAAAAATTATCAAGAAAATATAATGGGGGCTGGGGATGTGGCTCAAGTGGTGGCGCGCTCGACTGGCTTACGTGGGGCGCTGGGTTCGATCCTCAGCACCACATAAAAATAAAATAAAGATGTTGTGTCCACCGAAAACTAAAAAATAAATATAAAAAATTCTCTCTCTCTCTAAAAAAATATAATGATTATAAATACATATGCACTGATTGTCGAAGCAACCCAATTTTATAAAGCAAACACTACTAAACATAAAGGGAGAGATAGGCTCCAATACAATAATAGTGGGCAACTTCAATACCGGCTCTCACCAATAAATCATCCAGATAAGAAAATCAACAAAGAAACATCAGAGTTAAATTATACTATAGACCAAATAGACCTAATAGACATCTACAGAATATTCCACCCAACAACTGCAAAATGCACATTCTTTTCATTGTCCCATTGCACTTTCTTCCAAAATTGACACATATTAGGCCACAACACAAGTCTAAACAAGTTTAAAAAACTGAAATAATCTCTTGCATCTTATCTGATTACAATGGAATGAAGCTAGAAATCAGTAGCAAGAAAAAACCACATAATTATACAGAACATACAATTATACAGAAAATTATACAGAATATATAAGCAGAGTGGAAATTTTAAAATTCCTTGAATCAAATGAAAATAGAAACACAACCCACAAGAACTGTGGGACACAGTGAAAGCAGTACTAAGAAGGAAGTTCATAACAACGAGTACTTACACCAAAAAAATACAGAGATCACAAACGCATGACCTAATAATGCAAAAAGAACAAACCATCAAAATCAGTAGAAATAAACAAATAAATAATAATCAGAGCAGAAACAAATGAAATAGAGATTAAAAGAACAATACAAAGGGGGCTGAGGTTGTGGCTCAATGGTAGAGCGCTCACCTAGCACACGTGTGTGTGTGTGTGTGTGTATATAATTTAAAAAAGAACAATACAAAAGGATCAATGAAAGAATTTGTTGAGAAGATAAAATTGACAAACCTTTATCTAAACTAATCAAAAGTGAGAGCAGACCCAATTAAATGAAATTAGAGATGAAAAAGGAAACACTCTAACAGATACCACTGAGATTCAAAGGATCATTGGAGAACATAATAACTACATAATATTAAAACTATATGCCGGGCTGGGGTTGTAGCTCAGTGGTAGAGTACTGGCCTCACATGTATGAGGTCCTAGGTTCGATTCTCAGTACCACATAAAAATAAATAAATAAAAATAAAGATACTATGTCCATCTACAGCTAAAATTTTTTTTAAAAAAAACTATATGCCAATACAGCTGAAAATACAGAAGAAATGGACAAATTTCTGGAAAGATATGATCTACCAAAATTGAACAAAGGGCATATATAAAACTTAAATAGATCAATAACAAGTATTGAAATTGAAGCAGTAAATAAGAAGTCTTGGGAGTTGGAGGGAAGCCCAGACTGATAAATTCACTACTGAATTTTTCCAGACTTTTGAAGAACTAATACCAATTCTCCTCAAATTATTCCTCAATAATAGTTTGAGTAATTATAAACTCATTCTACAAAACAAGTATTACCCTGTTATCCAAACCTGAGAAGACACTCTAGTCAGAGGCCATTATCAAGAATATTTAAAAAAAAAGAATAACAATAAATGTTGGAGAGGATGTTGGGTAAAATTAGACTCACACATTATTGGTGGAATTGCAAATTGTTATAATCACTCTGGAAAGCAGTATAGAAATTCCTCAGAAAACTTGAAATGGAACCACCATTTGACCCAGTTATCCCACTCCTTTGTATATACCCAAAGAACTTAAAATCAGCATACTACAGTGATACAGTCATATCAATGTTTATAGCTGCTCAATTCACAATGGTGAAGCTGTGGAACCCATCTAGGTGCCCTTCAATAGATGAATGGGTAAAGAAAATGTAATACACATATACACATGCACACACACACACACACACAGAATGGAATATTACTCAGCCATAAAAAAGAATGATTTTTATGACTTTTGCTGGTAAATGGATGGATCTGGAGCCTATCATGCTAAGTGTAATAAGCCAATCCCCCAAACCCAAAGGTCAAATGTTCTCTCTTATATGCGGATTATAACATACACAAGGCGGGGCGGCAGGGGAGAGAAGAATAGAAGTTCAGTGGATTAGACAAAGGGGAATGAAAAGAAAGGAAGAGGGAATAGGGATAGGAAAGACAGTAGAATGAATCAGACATAACTTTTCTATGTTCATATATAATTACACAACCAATGAAACTACACATCATGTATAGCTACAAGAATGGGATCCTAATTAGAATAATATATACTTCATGTATGTATAACATGTCAGAATGCACACTACTGTCATATATAAAAAGAACAAATTGAAAAAAAATCTGAAAAGACACAACAGAAGAAATATACATAACTCTGATGAACTCAGATGCAAAAATTCCCAATAAAATACTTTCAAATCAAATCTGACAACATGTTAAAATGATCATATACTAATCAAATTGGTTTCATTCCAGGGATACAAAGATGGTTCAACATACACAAATCAATAAATGTAAATTGGCACATAAAAAGAATCAAGAAGGGGCTGGGGTTATGGCTCAGTGGTAGAGCGTTTGCCTAGCATATGTAAGGCACGGGGTTTGATTCTCAGCACTGCATATAAATAAATAAAGATCTATTGATAACTAAAAAATATTTTAAAAAAGAATAAAGTATAAAAATCAAATGATCATCTCAATAGACACAGAAAAAGACTTTGATAAAATTCAAGATTCCTTTAGGATAAAAACCCCAAGTATCTCTTCATTTGGGTACTCCTAAGTTATGTCCTTTAAAATACATACAATTATAATCATAAACATTGTGCTTTCCTGAGTTTCTGTCTGTTGAATTCTCAAAACTGAGAGGGTGCTGGGAACTCCCAAATTTATAGCTAGTTGGTCAGGAGTGTGGGTGGCCTTGGAGACCCATTGAATTTCTGACTGGGACTGTAAAATGGGGCACTCATGTGGAGGACTGAGACTTTAACTTGTGGGGTTCATGTTAACATCAAGTAATTAATTCATGCTAGAACTAAATTACAGTAGGCAAGTGGATGTTAGGCTAATTGGGATTGAAACAGAATAAACTTATTAAATATATTTATTCCAAACTTTAGTATTGAATATCAGGTCTCATTTCCTCACAATGCCAAAACAGACATTTTGTGTATATAAAGTACATTGTACATTTCAGAAGGTAAGTTATTACCAGAAAAAGAATATTAAATACATATTCAATGTATATTGATAGTATAAAGATTGGCATAATACTTACAAAATAATAGTGCTTTCATCACTGGTTACAGAGTGAAAGAATTTTACATCAAAAAAGGGAAGAACAAAAGAGGAAACAGACTTTTAGCACTTTTAACATAGTATTCTGCTAAAACTATTACACAGAAATATATTCTTTGTTGATAGAGGCTATAACAATGTAGTATGTTAATTATTACCACTTGTTCTATAAATTTATGTCAACTAAGAGCTAAATTGAAGGTTTAATATATAACATTTATTAATGGCAAAGAAATAGGAAACACATAAGCATGTTGTACCTACCCAAAATAGCCAAAATACATTATCACCTCAGATTATCTATTAAAATTCAATAACAAGTCTGGGGAAAATTATATATTTTAGACTAATTTAAGTGTGCTTTTTTTTTTAACTTGTAAATGTACTTTTCACATTTTGAATGTAAAGCAGCTGTATTAACTTCAAGCCAACATTCTGCATTTAGTCAGGACATGTGGCACTTACCTGGTTTGACAGCTCGTTGTAGCTGGGGTTGTAGAAGAACTTGCAACATGGCGGGGTTGTTTAAACTTTTCATAATTTGTACTGGATTTGGTTCTGGAAGTAATCCCTTTTGATTACTGTGCATCTTCAGCAAATACAGAAATAAGAAACATTAGACCAAGCACAAAAGATGGAATTTTAAAGGCATTCTTCCAGAAATTCTCATTTGCCTAAGATCTATTGACTCGTAAACACAATCTGTTTTATATATCTGCTGTACACTGCTACCATTGTGCTCAATTACATGTTAAGATGTCCTGTCACACATTGGACATGAAATCCTCATAGACTATTTCAGCTAAATTCTAATGGGCTTCAAGAAGACTAAAGATTAATAGAATATATCTCTTTACAAAGTACAAATAGATGACGAGGGAATCTCAATTTGCTAACAAGGAGATAACGTGTTGTTTTAACATGACTACTTTGTGGCTAATAGGAGAATCTTACTACATTGCTAATCGGAAGTTTAACAGTGTGGGCTGCCTCGCAAATCAGAATTTTCTTATACTAAAAAGATCTTTATTTCATTACCTTAATCCTCCAATTTGAGACTAAGAAGAACTGGCTTTGCATATATGTAATTGGTAGCTCCCTAAAAACAAAATTGTTTTCAGTTCTTAAAACCAGTGTGATATATGAGGATATTAAAATAAAAAGCAAACTGTAAACTTCTAGCCTGAGAAAACGGAGAAATGACAGGGACAACTGGGTCCTTCTCCCAGGCCAGATACTGTGAAATTGAGAGGGAAAGGGAGAAACTGGCATATGATCATTGAGAAATCCGCAGAGAGAGCCAAGGTGTGAAGGTAAACAGGAGCGAGAATGAGAGACCTTGGACCAGCACAGGGTGATTCAGGGAAGGGCATTTGAGTTGTTCAGTGGTCCAGTTCCCTTTGCACTGCCTTTAGGGAGCATGGCTCTGCTGACCAGCACAGCAGGGCAGGAAAGAGTGGCACTGTCCCAGTGACAGCCAGAGGACCAATGACTCAACAATAGGGAGGCACACCAGGACAGGGACAGTGGGGACCAAATAATGCTAGTGTGGGCAGAACAGCTGGTCAATGACAACCTCGTTCCCATATCCCCAGCCTTCTCAGTTCCTCCCTCGCACACCCACAGTGCAAGGTAGAACAGTTTCAATGGAGGAAAGCAGAACTGAGCGCAAGACAGGGAGGGGAGAGGCAAAGGGTTCTTGCAGGGCTGTCTGGATGGGGTGGGAAGAGGACCTGGCCAAATGTGAATGGTGAAGGCAGAGCATCCCTGCCCTGAGGTCCCTGCCTGCCTTCCCTAGACCCTAGCCTAAGTCCCATATTTACCTCTCCCTGTGTATTCCTTCTCCCATCAAACTATTTTTTTTTTTGACAGGGCAGATTAAACCTAGGGTCTTATGTAGCATATGTTCTACCACTGAGCTATACCCCCAGCTCCTACACCCCACCCCATTATATAAACACTAACATACAAGGAAGCTGATAGCTGCCTCCAGGAAATATGTGTTCATAGGAGACAGCAACTAGACACTTAGGAAACAGAGCTGCTCAAAATAAAGGCAAAAAACTGGATTGCTTATAAGAAAGAAAGCAAAATCAATGAATAAGAAATAACAAGAAAGTCTAAAAAGAAAATGAATTTTTATTAGTAACATGAAGCAAAGCCATGCAGTTATAAAGACTAACTGGTGAGCAATAGTGGGTATGGAAACATAAACACTGAGAAAAATAAAAGCGGCTCTCATTTACTATAGACTTGGCATTGTTCTAAGCACTTCACGTGGGTTAGATCACACATTCTTCGAAAACAATTCTATAAGTTGGTATTATTATCCCCATTCAATAGATGAGGAAGCTGAAGAAATTCATAAAGCATTATTCTTAATCTCCATTATACGATTTAACATGAATAAAATAGTAGAAAAAAAATATGTACATATATATGATTAAAAAATAAAATAGTGATCTAAAAGGTCAGGTTAAAGAAATAGAAAGTACAAGAAGACAAGTATAAGCAGGGGACAGAGGTAGAAGTGTCAAGACCTACATAAATGGAATCCTGAAGGAGAAAATATGAAGGAAATCTCTGAAGAAATGACAACTGAGAATATCTCATTATTAAAGAACATTAAAGACCACAGAATGGAAGGGTTTACAATGTCCCAAATAGGATGTCCAAAAGAAAAAGAGCCCATCTTTTCACATTTCTTGGCATGAGATTTATGGACATCAAACCTAAAGAAAAACTGTGAAAAGCTTCCAATATGAAAGAGCATACCTCCAAATAAATAAGGATCAACATCAACTCCTTTCTCAAGGCACCTGCACTAGACGCAGGGAGATGATGAACTTGTATTTTCCAAGTAGTACAGGAGAAAAGCTCTGGACCTTTTGTATTTAGCTAAGCTACTATTTAAATATCAGAAAGGAATGAAAATGTTCTCAACTATACAAGTTATCAGAAGGGTTTCCCACATGAATACCTCTCTCAAAGTGTCCTTGGAAGAAGTACTCTGGCGAGAAAAGAAATAAATGTAAAACAATATTGCCTGTTATGTGAAAATTAATCTATGTAATTATCATTTTACTCTTGTTTACAAAAGATAGGGTCATAAAACAATAAAATAATATTAAAGACGACTCTAAAGTAAAAACGTAGACAACAATATGGCGGCAGTAGGGCAGGATGGAGGAAATGAGTGCAGGTGAGAACAATCTCAGTAGAAGACAGAGTACTGGTGAACCTGGGAGTGCTCTTTAAGGATTCAGGGACAACCCCCAGGAAGATAAAGATAGACTGTGTAGCTCTCAAACCAGAAGAAGAAAGACTTATCTATCTAATAGAAGGAAAGGGAAAATAAAGGGAGTTATGTACCTAAAACAACATATACAGAAAAAAATGGCAATATAAACCAAAAAAAAGTTGTAGCCATTGCAACGTCAGACAAAAATTTTCAAGGCAAAAAAAACCCAAAAACAAAACCACAAATATTGACAAAATGATCGATATGATTATGAACAAATGTGTGCCTAATAATTAATATATATTCAAATACATTCTATATATCTAATATATACATAGCAACAACTGACAGAATAAGGAGAAAAATCAACAATTATATATGAAAATTTCTAATAGATTCCTCTGAGACACAAATCAAGCAGATAAAAAGAAGAAAACATATTGAAAATTCAAATGAAAGTTAATGAGAATGAACTGATACGAACTGATATTTATGTACATATATCTATGTACATACGCATTCATAACCCACAAGCATAGAGCTTGAGTGGCTCTGAGCACAGGTGGATCCACTACCCATCAGGGCACTAAGGCCACAACATCCATTTCTCCCCAAATCAACTTTAGAGATTAAGTTCTCTAACCTTAATCAATACAATTAGAAATGTGTAGCAGAAAAATAGCTTGTCAAAATTCCTAATTTGTTATAAACCAAAACTATGCATGTTAATTAAGCTTTGAGTTTAAAAGGAAATCATAATAAAAATTGAAACATTCATAATTTAAAAGTTATGACATGGAAGCATAGCATTAGTTAGAAGGAAATGTACCTTAACTGCATTTATCAGAAAATAACCAGACTGAAAAAAAAAAAGAGAGTTAAGCATTGACATCAGTAAAGATGGGTAAATATATTCTCTTCCTCCCTTCAAAAAAAAAGGAGAAAAGGAAATCTAAAGAACAAAGAAAAAAGGAAATCATAAAGGCATAAATAAGCAAAAGAGAACATTTTGAAATGATGAATATAACAAAAGCTATTACTTTGAAAAAAATAGATCTTTTATAAGCCTGATCAAGGATCAAAAGGAAAATGCAAATAAATAAAATATAGAAAGAAATGAGGAAACCAGACAGGATGTTTTAAAAATAATAAATTATATGTCAATAATGTTGAAAGCTTAAATATAATTGATAAATGTATAGGCTACACTCAAATGTGAAATATGGCACAGAAAGAATAAAAACTAAAATATGTAACTATCCATAGATGAAACTTATGTGGCAATCAATGAGTCATTTTGGAAGAAGCACAAGGACTAGGCCCACACGGGTTTATTTGTTTATTTTTGTTTCTTTGTGTGTACTGAGACTTGAACCCAGAAGTGCTCTGTCACTAAGTTACATCCCTGGCCCTTTTTATTTTTTGAGACAGGGTCCTGCTAAGTTACTGAGGCTAGCCTTGAACTTGTGATCTCCCGCCTCAGTCTTCCAAGTACTTAGGATTATAAGTGTACGCCTCCATGCCTGGCATCTCATGATTTTATAGACATCCCTGTTTATACAAGCTGATCTATGAGACAGAAAGAAAAGGAAGAAGTAGAAAAGTACTAAAATCATTTTATAAGATCAGTGTTATCTTAATCCAAAAAATAAGAATGGTACCAAAAATTTAAGTGCGTTCAGTTTATGAGTGCATGTGTACACCACGTATCAAATAAAATACTGTCAAATCAAACAATGCATTGAAAAAACGGTGTTATCAATTAGGGTTTAGAATAAAAGGGTGATTCATATAAGAAAATGTGTGATTGACCACATTAGTGAGCTTGTGAAGAAATCACACAATTATCTCAAACATTGTAGAAATAGTTACATAAAATTTAATCCCTATTTATGATTTTAAAACATCTCAGAAACTTGATAAAAAAAAATATATGTACTACAAACCTATAGCAAACACCAGTGATAACTTACTTTGTGTGTGTGTGGCACTGGAGAATGAACCCAGGCCAGGGGTTCACAAGAGTAGCTAGGATTACAGGTGTGTATCATCCTTCCTGGCATATAATTACATTTATGACTGAAAAATATGTATGATTTCTGTCACTGTTATCCAATCACAAAGGGCCGTGTAGGTCATTCTAAGGAATTAGAATCAGGGTAGGCATTAAAGAATATGAAGAAAGAAAATGACATAATGTAATTTGAGGATAAGAAAGATCACTTGGGTGCACTGTGGAAGGGGGATTAGAGGAGGAAAGACGAATGGCTTGAGGACCATGTAGGGAGTTATTCTAATCACAATAGTGAGCAAAGATGACATCCTGACTGAAGTAACAAACATGCAGACAAGGTCTCAAGGACTTGTGATTTTAGACGCAGAGTTGAAAGAATTTGCTGATATTTCTGACATGTAGACATAAGGACACCAATCATAATTAACGCATGACACATAAAGTTGTTACAGAACATAAAAAAGCAAGTGCCCGAATAAAATAATTTTCTTTTGAAATGTTGAAATTGAACTATTTATTTCATTTAAAGGTAGGCTAATAAATGAGCCTTTGGAACTATAGATTTACTACTTATAGAAATTGGGTCCAAAAAATATGTCTGCAAATCATAATTAACAGACAACCATTGAGGCAATTGGAGTGAGTTAGAGGAAGAAAGTCAGAAAGTGAAATATAGAAGTCTACGATATCTGCCCTTTGGGGAAAAATAGGAGTTAGGGAAGGAACCATTAGGCAGGTAAGAAAAAGAATGGTGTGACAGAATCCATGGTAGCAGAGAGTTTTAAATGTCAGAGATCAAGCAATAAAAGACTAAAAATATTTTATATATACCTGCAAGATACAAATATTAAGAAATCCTTGTTTAAAAATGTTCAACATCTTCTAGTAATTAGAGAAATGCAAATCAAAATTACTATAAGATTTCATCTCACGCCAGTCAGAATGGCAGTTATCAAGAATACAGACAACAATAAATGTTGAAGAGAATATGGGGGAAAAGGCACACTCATACATTGCTGATGGGACTGAAAATTGGTGTAACCAATCTGGAAAGCAGTATGGAGATTCCTTAGAAAACTTGGAATGGAACCACCATCTGACCCAGCTATCCCACTCCTCGGTATATACCCAAAGGACTTAAAATCAGCATACTATAGTAACATGGCCACATCAATGTTTATAGCAGCTCAATTTACAATAGCTAAACTGTGGAAGCAATTCAGATGCCCTTCAATAGATGAAAGGATAAAGAAACTATGGTATATATACACAATGAAATATTACTCAACATTAAAAGAGAATGAAATTATGGCATTTGCTGGTAAATGGATGGAGTTGGGAGAATACCATGCTAAGTGAAGTAAGCCAATCCCCAAAAAAACAAAGACCAAATGTTCTCTCTGATAAGTGGATGCTGATCCATAATGGGGGGGGGGCATGGGAAAAACAGAGGAACTTCGATTGGGCAAAGGAGAAGGAGGGGTGGGAGAGGGGCCTGGGGATAGAAAAGATGGTGGAATGAGATAGACATCATTATCCTAGGTACATGTATGACTGCACATATGGTGCGACACTATATTGTGTACAACCAGAGAAATGAAAAGTTGTGTACAATGAATCAAAATGTATTCTACTGTCATATGTACCTACTTAAAATAAATTTTTAAAAAGTAAAAGAAAGAAAGAAAGAAATTCCTGTTGATTTTAATGAGAGAAAATTCACTTGACTAGTGTTGGCAGGAACTATATTGCATTAGACTGAGAAAAAAATGGAAAATTAAGAAATGGTGACAATGAGTGAGATCTTTTTGTTCAAAAAGCTCTGGTTATATGGTTATAAAGGCCAATATCTGAACAGGGAAAGGCTTTTTTTAAGGAAAAGGCTTGTAGCAGATGGGATGTAGCTAGTGAAGCAAGTAAAAATAAGTAGAAAGGCAATGATCAAGGGCCCCAAGGATGGGGGCACAGCCATAAGCCCCTTGCTTGGGCAGATGGAGACATAACCCTACCTCCAAGAGGGCAGAAATATTTACCGGCTTTGTTCACTGGAGAGTACTAAACATCTCTGAGTGCATGTCATGGGTACCCTACTAGTACTTGTGAACAGATGCTATTGATCAGAGAAAGAAGCAGGAAATTTGGGCATGGATAAGAAAAGATGAAGGAATGCATTCAACACATGGCCTTCATATTTCTATTCAGTACGAACCATGATCATTGGGCAGAAACAAAGAAAAAAGCAGGAACAGAGTGCAGGGTTTAGGTAATTTCTGTTAAAATGGAAAAGAGCTGATAAGAGACAAGCTGAAGATTTGCTGGGGTGGGGGCAGCTATAACTACATGTCATTCATCCATAATGGCATCAAGCTACCCAGTTGTTTGTTTTTCTCAAAGAGTACACAGGGCCCCAATTTCAGAGGTAGGCCACCGGACCAAACTGAGTTTTAAACTCAGCAAATCTATCGCAATGAATAGACAACTTAACCAGAGGAAATGAAGTTGATGGTGAATGAATGGCTGAAGTAGTGACTTACATAAGGATATAAGAATGAGAACCTCTAAGGGGGATCAGAGTGAGTCAAAGAGGGTAGGAAGAGGGTGGGAGATGTCAGAGTAGAAGCCTAAGAACAAGAGCTTGTCCAGTCTTCTAATTTCCTCTCTCCAGCTCATCTACACATAAACCACTTTCAGATTAATCTCCAGATGGTTTATCTTTGATTCTGTCACACCTTGTTTATTTAAGTTCTAAACTGCCTATCAAATTCAACCTAAATTCTTTGAGTACTCCACATAGTCCCTGCTTGGGCTTCAACCTATACCTCTCTATACAAAGTGCAACTAGACCATGTATCACTCTCCAAGCATGTAAATTCAACTCAGACTACTGCTGGAACAGTTTTTCCCACCTAGGGTGACCACTCCCTGCCTCCTGAGGGGTCCCAGATCTAGCAAGTAAAAATACAGGATGTTCAGTTAAATTTGGAGTCAGATACACAACGAATAATTTTTAATATAAGTATGACTCATGTAAAATCTGTATTTGGCAATCCTATCTGCCGCAGTCTGGCTGGGCACAAATCACGAGCCACTGAAGCAGGAACAAACTTTATTTTTAAACTGCAGGAAAACACTTCACACAGCTCCCGGGGAATCCTCCCGAACGCGCCACGAGGCTTGTCCAGGAACCCCCAGCCGGAAATATCTCTCCCGGAAATCCCTCCTCCTGCACTTCCCCAACCAATGGGAACTCTCGGGGAATCCCCGGAAATCCCCACGAGAACTCCAAAATAGTGCGAGAACTCAAAAGTTGTGGCAGAGGCGGATAGTAATGCCTCGCCTGTCAATCAATACTGTTGGCAAAATGCCAGGGGCCATACAGACTCAGCCGTGGCTCTCAGCACCTATCCTCCACCCCCATTAACACATGTCAATATCTCATCTGCTCTTGAATGTCACCCTAAAATGTCACCTTCATCATGCAATCTTCCCCAATTTTCTTCATTGAATCAACAAATATTTGCTGAGCCCTAGGATGAAAATTGTGGTCTCTGAGATCTCTAAGGAACTTTGAGGTTACAGAAGTAGAGAGGGAAATAAGTAGAACAGAGAAGTAAGTACAATATGCCTTGTGAGGAAAAGAGGAGACCTTTGCTATGGATGCTTATGAACACTTGTTGAAAAAGAGGCATTTATAAACTCACAAAGGGAATGGGGATGTGGCTCAATGGTAGAGTGCTTGCCTATCACGTATGAGGCCCTGGGTTCAATCCCCAGCACTGCAAAGCAAACAAACAAAAAATTCACAACAGAAGAGCAACTCAAATAATTTGAGTTGTATGAATGAAATTCCTTCAAAAATACACTTTACTAAATACAATTTCTTGGGTTTTTTTTTGGTTGTTGCTGTTGTTGTTTGATTGGTTGGTTTTAGGTACTGGGGATTGAACCCAGGAGCACTCTACCACTGAACTACATCCCAGGTCCTTTTTTATTTTTATTTTGAGACAGAGTCTTGCTAACAAGTCCAGGCTGGACTTGAACTTGCAATCATCATGTTTCAGCCTCTGGAGTAGCTGGGATTATAGCTGTGCATCACCAAGTGGACTCAATTTCTTTTTTTGTAACAATTTCTGGCTTGATTTAATGAAGATACCAGTTAGCCAACTTAAAAAAAAAAGATGAATATCTTCAATGTAATAGAAATATAACAATGGTCCAATTAAAGCTCATTATTTTGGGTAGACTAGATAGATTAACATAGTATTAGAGGGGGCTGGGGTTGTAGCTCAGTGGTAGAGCACTTGCCTAGCATGTGCAAGGCACTGGGTTCGATTCTCAGCACCACATATAAATAAATGCATAAAATAAAGATCCATCAATATCTAAAAAGAATTTTTAAAAAGAGATAGTATTAGTATGTTCTATATCCTAAAAAAGAGGGGGAAAAAATCCTGCTTACCACACGTTGAGCCGCTATCAATGCTGCTAATGTACTTCGTCCAGGCGCTCCTGGGGCACAGAAGGAAACCTGGACTTTGCTTCCCTTGACGGTCATGCCATCTGCTGCTTGCTGAACCTCTTCAGCATGCTCTGCAGTGTGATACTCAACCACTGCAAAGCCACCAACGTAACTACCTTCATCCTGTGCAAGCTGACAATAATACATTTTATTAAAAGGGAATTTTGATGTTGACTTAGAAACATTGATTACAATAAATAATTTTCAAGTTCAAGAACATTTATACATATTAGCACATGATGCTGATGAAGATAATATTTTCTTTTTCTATGAAAATAAAACTTTACTCACTGCTCATACATTCCTTCCTGAAGACAGGAAGATAAAACAGGGGTCTGTCAACTTTTTGATTTTTCTAATTTATTTTAACAGTCAATGCTCAAATGATAATAATCACTAAAGAGTAAGAAAAAGTATTTTTAAGAAAAAAATTTAATTTATAGGAAAACATGGGGACACAATAATGAAAGCTTTCTTTAAAACAAAACTCACTGGATACATGGACAATGAAACACACCAAAGAATTACTGGAACACACGTCAACGTAAAATAAAATTAGTATTTCAGGAGCAGAAAGGGAGGAGGAAGCATTCAACTTGTAGTTCAGCAGTTTAGGCAGATTCCAGCAATCTGGTCAAGTATACCAGATTAATTTCTGAAAATTGTGTCCCAGGTTTGTTAAAATACCATATGTAACACACAACCTTTATTTCTGAAGGTAACCTAAGTAAACGGCTGCCATGTAGAACTTGATTTATTTCTAGTCACCCACCTGTAGGAGTGTAAGGGAAGATACTAAAGTCCTGGATCTGTAAAGACTGGCACAAAGAGCAAAAATAAGAACAAAATAAGAAACTACAATGTTTCTAAGTTTTGAACATGTCTGAATCATCTTACATACATTTATGCTCAAAGGGATCAATGTGACAACTTCCAGGTTTGTGTGTCTTTGAGAAGACACACTGACAACACTTCTCTGTGTTTGGCATCTCAGATATTATTGCAAATAAATCGCTTCTTAGTTCTTTTCAGTCTCCTTTATTTTTAAAATGAACTGTCTTCTACTTTCTGGTATACGTAGACCAAATTTCCATCGTTCCTTCATGTGCTTTATTCCCTTTAAAACTGTCTTCAAATGTCTTTGTCTCCATGAACCATTTTACAATCACGTGGGGAAAAGTGAAGATGCATACTCCTTCCCAACAACTCTGTTCTCATGATCCAAGCCAGAACTTCAAACTGGATTTGTAAAGGTCACCAATCCCTTTGGTCTCCTGACCGCAGTGACTGTGTCTTTAACGCTGTCTGTGTCAACTTACCATGCACTAGGCCTCAGTTAACAGGCCCACGGAAAAGAAAGCATTCTGACATTTTTTTAAGTATTTATTTTTTAGTTGTAGTTGGACACAATACCTTTATTTTATTTACTTATCTTTATGTGGTATTGAGGATCGAACCCAGGGCCTTGCTCGAGCTAGGCGAGAGCTCTACCGCTGAGCCACAACCCCAGCCCCGACATTGTTGTTTTAATAATCTTTTTTGAAAACTTTAAAAATAGCATTTACTATTTCTGTTTCATTATGATGAGCTTCCTTCCTTCACAATATGTAATATCATTTTAAGTCTTTCAAATGACAAAATCATTTTAACTCCATGGCATCAGTAGTTTTAGAGAAGAATATTTCAGCTCAAAGAAAGCCATTCAAAGATATAATGGTTTGACTTGCAATCTAGTTAATTTTCCACTATTTTGAAGTATTTGAAAAGCTAAATGGTCACTCAAAAATATTACAGCAAACATTTTCTATTAGTGTAAAGCATGACTCAATAATCTAGCTGTAAGGTAGCTGTCAACTCTGGGGTTCATAATTCAAACATAATGAATCATGATTGCCATTTCCCCTCATATTTGCCTCAAAGCCTCAACTAAAGTTATAAAGAATTATGTATGACTACAGGATGATATTGCTATAATTCTTAGTCCACAAGAATATCATATCAATAAGGCAATCAACTTTTAATAACTGGACAATGATAAAAGTTTATAATAAGGGGCTGGGTTGTGAATAAGCAGTAGAGATCTTGCCTAGTCTGTGCGGGGTGCTAGGTTCAATCCTCAGTGCCACATAAAAATAAAATAAAGGTATTGTGTCCAACTATAACTAAAACAAAATATATTTTTTAAAAAGTTTATAATAAAATATTCTAATTTTATAAAATTCTTGGATGGTTTCTTTGATGCTTATATTGGGATCGGAGGGGTGGAAATGTAAGAAAAAGGATGGTAGCATTAATCATATTTATGTACATACATATATTACTAAAAACAAAAAAATGTAAAGCCAAAAAATATATATATCTGTATCTGCATGATCTTGCTCATATTCAGAATCTAAAAAAGCTGAAATTCTAGAATTAGAGAGCAGAATGATGGTTTACAGCAGGTGAGACAATTGCAATGTCTGATTGAAGAAATGTTGGTTAAAAGATACAAAACTCAAAGAGATAGGAAGAATAAGTTCACTGTTGCACAACATGGTGGCTATAGTGGACAATGTATTATTGAAAAATGGTAAGAGAGTGGATGTTTAGTGTTCTTATAACAAAAAATGACAATCACGGGAGCTGGCAGTGTAGCTAAGTGGTAGAATGTTTGCCTGGCATGCACAAAGTCCTGGGTTCAATCCCCAGCATTGCAAAATAAGTAGATAAACAAATATTTTAAAAAAATATTTTAAGTAATGCATATTATAATTAGCTAGATTTACTCACTTCGTAACATATATATACTTTAAGATATCATGTTATACATGATGAACATATGTAATTTTATCTGTCAAGTTAAATACACACATACACGCACTCTCCAATTTCAAAATTTCTATTGCAATAGTAAGAATTCAACAAATGTAAGATTAAAGGAAAATGGGAAGAAAAAAGAGGGAAGGAGGGAGGGAAAAGAGCATGGAAGGAAAGGGAAGGTGGTAAAAAAGAAAAAATGAAGACAAGGAACAGGAATAACTGATCAGTTGCTATCAAAACTCAGGAAGGGAAGGAGTTTTTACACGGTATATATTCTCTCTATTTACTATTATAAAGCACTTGACATTTCTCACCAGTGCTGTTAGTTTTCAGGATCTTCTCTAAATGTCTCACCTCCATGACTCCATTAAGATATACTTTTAAACTTCATGATACTTTTCTATACTCCATTATACCACTCTTCGTACATCATGTGCAATTACTTGCCTACTTGTCTTTCTCCTCTACAGAATTTTGAGGGAGGGAGGGAGGGAGGGAGAGAGAGAGAGAGAGAGAGAGAGAGAATATCCTTCTATTCTCTGCATTTTGGGCACTTGGCATAGAATCTGGCACAGAGAAAGTACTAACTTAAGAGTTGGATAAACAAATGGATGAATCAACACATGGCTGGACAAATGGATGGGATGAGGAGGGGAATGAGCAAGCCATGGATTTGCTAAGGCATACTTAACTACACACAGTATAGTTTGGCCCTTGAACAGAAGGAATTGACTTAAAATTTCACATGTGATTAAAGTCTTCCTTATAGACTAGAACAGAATCAAATTATCCATTGTAATATTCACACAGGTATGAAAAATAAATGTTTGAGTTTACACAGGAGATATATACACAGATATTTCTAGGTGATCTCCTAAAAATACATACCTGGCAAAACACAGGCTTGTGGATACTGGAAAAAAATTGCAATAGCTCTTCTGAATCCCTGTAGTCACTAGGGAGTTTATCTATACAAAGGCACTTAGAATGAATGAGCTCTGAGGCCAATAGATTAACATCCATCCATTGTGCAAAGAGTGCTGATGCTCCCAACTGTTTACCCAATAGTTCCAATCTAGCCTTTGCAGCAAAGTCCTTTTTCATGTATTCCACAAATCCATAGCCTTTGGAATGGCCAGTAACTTCACTGTAGACCAGAAAACATCTCTCAATATTTCCGTAAGTACGAACAAGTTCTTCAAACTCTTCTAACGTGAAAGAAATGGGCAGATTGGTAATACACAGCAAAGCATCGGTGGGCTGGAGTTGAACTATCAAGTCTTTGCCTCGAAAAGAATATTGATGAAACATCTGAATTGCACTCTGGGCTTGTTCTCCATTCAATAAGGTAACAAAAGCTGGAAGATAATAATAAAGTGAATTAAAGAGTTTTCTAGGCTAGTGTTTTCCAATTTTTTTACTGTGACCCACAGTAAGAAATCCATTTTATGTTCACGCACAATTTTTCTGAAACATAATTATCATGAAATTATACCCCTGTTATATGAAAAGCACAAAGCACTAATTTTTTAAAGTTCTATTTCACAGTTTTCTTAATGCTGACATCTCACTAAACTACTTCCATGGTCAGTTGTTCAAATAGAAAGTATGGAAATTATATTAGGAGTTCCATTGTAAAGTCCTACCATATTCTAAGAGTTTTGTTTTGTTTTTTTTTTTTTTGGTAATCTCCTCCAAAATATAGAGATATAATTTTTCCCTAACAATTTGTGATACAAAAATCTTATGAAGTCTTCATAAAAAACAAAAACAAAAAACCACAAAGGTATAGCAAAAAGACCAACTGCCCAGAGGAGGAGAGCCAGTTCTCACCAACTCATGTATGTATTTTCTTAAAATAAGATTACTTAGGTTGAAACAATTCACAAATGTATATAATTTGGTATACTTTTATGAATAATATCTAATGAAAAGATCACATGATTTTGATCTTAGACAAATAGCCTAGTTTTAAATTTGATAAAACAATAAAAAACTGTCCTCTCTACCTAATGAAATCATTCCAGCACCAAACAACAAATTGATATGATAATTTATACAATATAGCTAGGTATGGTAGAGATCCAATCTACTAAGGAGGCTGAGGCAGGAGGATCATAATTTGAGGCCAGTCTCAACAACTTAGCAAAAATTTTGTTTTAAAATAAAAATTAAGAAAGGGCTGGGGTGTAGCTTAATGGTAGAGCCCCACTAGGTTCAATCCCTTGTACCATCCCCCCAAAGTAATTTAAACACAAGGTTCTAAATCAATGAAAAAAAAAAATCATACAATGTGTGTCTATTAAAATTTTAGGGCTGGGGATGTGGCTCAAGCGGTAGCGCGCTCGCCTGGCATGCATGCGGCCCGGGTTCGTTCGACCCTCAGCACCACATATAAACAGAGATGTTGTGTCCGCCGAGAACTAAAAATAAATAAATAAATATTTAAAAAAAATTTTAGCCATGTTAATTATCTATTTATCTAATAAAGTAAAAATAGTTTGAGCAACTTTCTAAGAAAATTGGAAAGTCCCACATTAAAAGAAATAACACAGGACAATCCATAAGTTACAAATAAGTTGCTCTAAAGAAAGTTCCTCCGGGGGCTGGGGATGTGGCTCAAGCGGTAGTGCGCTTGCCTGGCAAGCGTGCGGCCCCGGTTCTATCCTCAGTACCACATACAAAGATGTTGTGTCCGCCAAAAACTAAATAATAAATGTTAAAAATTCTCTCTCTCTCTCTCTCTCTCTCTCTCTCTCTCTCTTTAAAAAAAAAAAGAAAGAAAGAAAGTTCCTCCCTCTCCCACTCTATTGGAAATATACAGTGGAGTTGCTCTATATAAGGATTTAATTTACCCAAATTCAATTAGAACAGCATGATAATGAGTTGTATATAGAAAATATGTATAAAGCAAGAAAGGAAGAAAGAATTTAAATAGCCTGGGTAATTCTGCCTGTCATTTCAATCTGTTCTTCCCTCAGCTGGTCTTCGTGCCCACGTAGGTGACTCGCAGTGTGAGCATCTCACCACACTGAGTATGAAGCTAACATTTAAAAAACACATCTTTCATTTAACATGGTCTCCAAATGCAAGGAAATCATTGCCAACGGAAGAGCCAATGCTTTCAACACTAGAGAAAAAATAGCTTTGCTATACTTATTGAGAGAATATCTCTTGGTTTCCAACACCCTTTTTAAATGGCTTAAGTTATTTTGATTCTGTATCTTTTTTCACCTCTTATGCTGATATAAAATATCATCTAACTCAATTTCCTTAAAACATGCAAATAAGTCAACTGACAGTTTGTAATTACTGGTTGTGTTCCTAATATCAGCCATAAAATCATCAGCTCATGTGTTACTTGAATTCTCAAGACATTTGGAACTGTTTATTATTCCCCCTGCTTTTTTTTTTTTTTTTTTTGGTACTGGGGATTGAACTAAGGGGCACTCAACCACTGAGCCATATCTCCAGCCCTATTTTGTATTTTATTTAGGGACAGGGTCTCACTGAGTTGCTTAGCACCTCACTTTTGCAGAGGCTGGCTTTGAACTCGCAATTCTCCTGCCTCAGCCTCCTGAGCTGATGGGATTATAGGCACGTGCCACTCACCCTGCTAACATTCCCTTTATTAATTTCCTTGGTATACTCTTTCTTGGGTCATACATGGGTAAACTGTCTGAGTATTCACTCCTTCCTCTGTTTCCTTTGTTACATCTTTCTCCTCTGTGCATAGCTACAAGGTAGCTCTCTTTTTTGTTCTTCCTGGCAGATTCACACACAGAAATACCTGTGTGCCTGTATCCAGCAGCTTCCAGCCACTGAGTCCCTCTTCTCTCCTGCTACACCTTCTTTCCTTGGGGCAATCGAGTCTCCTCCCATTTATTCAGTAGTATCTGACAAGTACCATGTTAGGCACCCAATGCACTGGTGAATAAAACAGGTACGATTCCTTTCAACATAGAGCTTACACTCTAATAGGGACACGAAACACTTAACAATGAGTTACAAAATGTGGTGTCATTAGAGAGGAAGTAGGAAGGACCATGGGAGCAATTAAATACAGCAAATAACACAGTCTGGAAGCCCAAGAGGGCATCCTATACTCTAATAATTCCCAAACCAATGTCAATGTTTTTAATCTTCAGTTATACACACACACACACACACGCACGCACGCACGCACGCACACGCACGCACACACACATGCACACATGCACACACCGGACTGTCCAAACATTACTAATGATCTTCATCTTATTGCCACCAAGAAAAATGAAAACAAAAACTCAATTACTGCTCCTCTTCCTTTGTTCCTTATTCTAGCTGGTGACCTCACACTCACAAATCCGAAACCCGGGAATCCCCCTAGACTTGTCTCCTTCATCTCCCGCATAAAAAGTTCTCGAATTCCACCCTTATTCAATAGGTCTTGAATCCATCCTCTTTTCTTTGTTCTTCTAGTTTTTCCTCTTTTTAATCCTTTTTTTCACAGATGACAATACAGCACTCTCAAAAACAGGAGCTTAATTGTGTCTTTTTACTGCCCGAACTGCAATGGTTTGGTATTACCAACGCAGCCGGAGCCCAGCTCAGCCAACAAGCCCTTCTAGCGAAGCCTTCCCCAGTCTGACTCCAGCCTCGATAACTGCCCTAGTCCCTCCCCTTCCCACACTGTTCTTTATTCTCTGACAATACTGAATTATTTGGAGGTCCTGTAAACCTCAGGTTGTTTCAGGCATCTTATACATTACACATGTAGTTCATCTTGCTACAAGATCCTTCCCTGTATCTTCAGCTACTTGGTGGAGTTTCAAATTCAGCCCGGGGACTGCTGCACCATGGCTTCCAGGAAGCCTTCCCTGAAGCTCTCTCCCAGCCAAAGTTCGCCATTCCTGGTTTTACGATACCTGTGCATTTTGAACTTTGTTTGAATCGTTGCATAAATTACTATGACTGTATCCCCACCAACTGCTGCAGTCATGACACCTAGATAAATGAATAAATGCATGCATCCATAGAGTGACAATACATTTAAAAACTGACAATCTCTTATTTTTTCTTCTCCTTTGGGGATCTGCATTTACTCAACCCAAATAAAAGATTTTATGGTAGAAACTAAATGTCATAAGCAAATTTAAAATTTCAAGCAGTAGGAAAAAAGGTCACTTTTGTTCTTATATAGCTTCTTCCATGTTTTTCAAAGATCATAAATTCACTAAAAGCAATAATTTTTTTTCTCACATTAACTCTGGTGGAAGTGGCAGATGTCATTTTAAAGAGAAAAGCTTGTAAGGGATTTTAGGATTAATTCTCTTATGCTTTTCCTGTGTTAAATATTCCACAATTGGTCCCAACTCTTAAGACAAGTCATTGCTTGCTCACTATTAACTCATTATTGGGATAAATTAGATGGAAAGCATGCCAAACATTTTCCCCTAAAGTATCCTATTTTAGTTTAGTATGGCACCACCCCACTTGGTGCTGGGCTTGAACCCAGGGCTTCACAAATGCTAGATAAATACTCTACCCCTGAGCTACATCCCCAGCCCTCATGTTTGTATTTTAATACAATAATTTCCTCATATCTACTATAGAAAGCTCTGGTTGATAGGTTATAGTTTATAAGTGTCAGCATCTTTTATCAATCTACTTATTAATTATACGTTTCTACAGATACCATCATTGCTACTGAAATCCAAGGAAACACCATTTAATACAATTAATGCATTTCTTTGTTGTGTTATTTTAGTGGGTGACTTAGGGCTTACAGTGCATCTTCAACCTATCACAGTCTACTCTCAAGTAATATTATACACTTCATGTATAGTACAGGAGCTTGACAACAGTGTACTTCCATGTCCCCCACACCAGTCTTTGTATTATCGCTATTACACATCTTATTTCTACATGTGTTATAAATTTCATAATAGTGTTATTTCTACTCTAAAAAGTCCGTTATCTTTTACATAGACTTAAATATTAAGAAAAAGTCTTTACCCACATAATGACCATATCTGGTATTTGTGTGTGTGTGTGTGTGAGTGTGTAGTTCCAGATTTTTGTCTAGTATCATTTTTCTTCCTGCTTGAAGAACTTTCTAAAATATTTCCTACAATGCATGTTTGAAGACAATTATTTCAATATTATTGTATGACTGAAAAATATATTTTACCCTCATTTTTAAAAGATTTTCAATGGGTAAAGCATTCTATACTATTTTTATTTTCAACAAAGGAAAAAAAAATGTTGTCCTGTGCTCTTCTCATTTGTATGGTTTCCTTTGTGTCATTTCCTGTGATCATCTTTATCTTTGTTTCTCTAAACATCTTTTCCCTCCCTGCTTTTAAGATTTCTTCTTTATTGTGAATTATAAGCAATTGATTGCAATGTGCTTTGTAGTCCTCTTTATACATTTGTGCTTGGGGTTAAGTTTATCAGCTTAGAGTTTTCACCAAATTTAGAAAATTTTCAGCCATTAATTCTTTATATGCTTTTATCTGTTTTCCCATTGCCACCACCACCCCTTTTGGGAATTCTAATTACTCCAGTATTAGGACTCTTGAAGTTGTCCCACAGTTCACTTATAAAATAGTTCATATTTTACAGTCTTTTTTATTCTTTGTTTCATCTTTGATAGTTTCTTTTGTTACCTTTAAGTTCACTAACCTTTCCTCTGCTATGTCTATCCCACTGCTAAATGTAGTTTTCATCTTTGGGACTATGATTTGGTAAATTTTTAAAAATCTACTTCACATGCTCAATCCTTATTAGAACTTCTTATACCTATAGAACACAGTTATAAAAACTGGCTTAATGTCCTTCATTAATTTATCTGCATCAATTCCAGGTCAGTTTTGAGTAATGTTTCTCCTCATGATGGTTTGTACTTTCTTTTCTTTTTAAAAATCTTTTTAAGTTGTAGATGGATACAATATTTTTATTTTATTTATTTATTTTTATGTTGTGCTAAGGATCGAACCCAGTGCCTCATATGTGAAAGGCAAGTGCTCCACCACTGAGCTACAACCCCAGCCCCAGTTTGTTCTTTCTTGCTTCTCTGCTATGTCTGATCATTTGTTGTTGTTGTTGGGATGCCAGACATTGTACATTTGGTCTTGTTTGAGTGCTAGATACTTCTGCATTTATATAAGTACTCTTGAGTTTTGTTTTAGGGTATGGTTACACTTTTGGGACACAAGTGGATCTTTCCTGGTTGTACTTTTAAATTTTGCTAGCTAGGTAGAGAGTATCACTCGTCTAGAGGGAATCTTCCTCCCTCCTGAAGCAAAACCTTTCTCATTTCTCCTAGTGCTGCATGAATTATGCAGTATATTATTCTGGCTGGTGACAACACTTCTCCTGTCCCCATGAGCTGGAAGACTGTTATCTTTAATCCTTTTATCAATATCCAGTGACACTAAAATTTTGTGTAACCTACGAGGCAGCACTTTAAGTGTAGAGAAACAGTTGCAATGCACACTAGAAACAGGTATTGCAACATTGTTTGTAATACTCAATGCCTATTAGAAATGGATATACATCAATTGTGATAAATTCATGTGACAATATGTAGCAGTTTAAATCAATGAACTAGAGTTATATGTATCAACATGGAAAGATCTGAAAAGCAATGTTGAGTAAAAAGAACAAACAAAGCAAAATGCCAAATGAAACATTTAGAATACCATTTATGTAAAGTTAAAAAAAGAACAATATCATTAATTATGTCTAGATATAGTAAAATTACATGTATTAATCAAGATACTGTGATCTCAAAAGGTTTTATTTTTGCTCATGCTGCATGTCCCATGTGAAGGTTTACCAAAAAAAAAAAAAAAAAAAAGGCTTTGCTCATTAAAGCCACACTGGGACTTGGGTTGAAAAAGTTCTATGACCTTTCCCAATAACTTGGAAGTGGGATGCGCAAGCAGTTAATCACATGGTGTCTCTGAAGCCTTCTACCTAGAAGGCATACATGCCATTTTCACTCATTGTATTTATCAAAATGCAAATTGCATGTCCATTTTGACCTTCAAAGAGGGACAGGTAAATACTATCTTATCTCATGCCCAGAAGAAAAAGAACCACCTGTGAACAGCTCTACTGACTACCACAATGTAATGCACAAATTGAAAAGTAGGTATCTAATTCTTGAGTGCTTGCCCCCAGGTGAGGAGAGACGGAGGTATAGAATTGAGCATAATAGAAACTGGATTTCATCTTTATATGCAATGTTCTTTTTTACTGTTATTTTTAAAATCTGAAATAATTCAATAGATCTATATCAGGGTTCTAGCATGTATATCTCCCCCCACCCCGAAATCTTACCTGTTCGTTTATTTCTGTCCACGTAACAGTACTTTAACTCATAATCTTTTAACAAATCATGAACTTCCTGAAAAAGAAAAACAAACAAACAAACCATGAATTCAATAAGCACCCAAATTCAGTTAGTGGCTAATGTAGCTTGACTAGCCTACCCCAACTACAAAAAAAAGAAAACTTTTCTGAATTCTCCCTAGTACTTATTTAAATTAAAGACAGGGAAGGCCCAAAAGATATGGCACTAGCCTGAGCATCCAAATATATATCCCCCAATGCAACCCCTCCACATAGCCATGTTCCTGTTCAAATGGTACATTTATGGTCTCATGAGTGTATGAGGCACTGTCTTCATTCTGAATTTCTGCTTACACTTATGCCTTGATCTAGCATGGGGTAAACAAATCACTAAAGTTCACTAACTTTGTCTAAAAAAACATGCATACTTTGAAATTCCAGTTCACATGTTCTTTCATGAAGAACATTTTCCATAGAATGTGACCTCATTCTTCTTGATGCTAACAATAGTCATAACTTTATCCCTCTTATGGAAATGAACATTATATTTCTTTCTATTTATGTATACTACATACAGAGGTTTTAACAATACACCTGCAAATTTTTGTAGTATGAACACACAGAATAAATATACATTGCATTTCTTATAATAAACCCCTTGTAGATTTTTAAATTAGAAATCCCTTGTTATAAATCAAATAACAACCATTGAAGTACAGTATGTAGTTTTGATATATTTCTCTTGGGCAGCTAATAGTACTTGAATACAGGAACTTTATTTTATGTATTTATATATTACCTGCATTGCTTTACATAAAACAGGCAAATATACATTAAAGTACATGTATTTGAATTGATATATGGCCTTAAAGATTTTTGTTCATAATATATAACAAATTCAAAGGAATTAGACTATCACATAGGTGGACGTTTAGACCCCACATTGGAAGCCGGGTGGTGGCACACACAAGTAATCCCAGCAGCTCAAAAGGCTAAGGCAGGAGGATGGTGGTTCAGACCCTACATTGAAGAGTTACAACCAACCCATTCTATATAATGACTAAAAATACACAGGTGTTTATATAAGTACATAACCTAAATCCTTAATTCAGTAACAATGATTCTTATTACTGATATTATTACAGTTAAAACTTATTTAGCTTTCATTAGGTATAAGACACTGAATTTGTTTCTTTAATTAAAAATCTGAGAAGCAGAGTAGAAGGGAAATCAAGTGGCTGAAGTCATACAGTCGCAACTTGGGGAGCAGAGATTCATCACGGTTGGGCTGCAGGGGCCCCCTCTAGCCTTCTATGGCACATTGTCTTACTCTTTCCAGTGTAAACTTTAAAAATAGCACACTACCATCTACAGTTACAGAAACAATTATTTTTAGTTACTTTGTGAGATTTTTGTCCCACCTCCCAACCCTGGTTTGAGGTTTTTTTTTCCCCTTCTTTCTTTTGTTCTTCTGTAAATGAAATGATTATAGAATTGATTTTTGTGGGAATTCTAAAAGCTCTCTAAAACATTTCTGCAGCCTTTTTAAGCCTCATTCACAGAAGTACATGAAAGCACACACAGAGCCACAGGTTTCAGCAGTTTCAGTGCCACAGTTATATCAATTTTGGGGTCTCCTGATGAATCTTCTTTTTTTTAAAAGTTTGTACATAGATACTTCTTAAGATATAAAAGGGGCTGTGAACTAACTATGGTGTCTACTAAGTAGAATTTTGTGCTGGGAGGAATTGGAATTTTGTGTTTTCCCATCTGCATTCAGCCTTCTCCTCTGGGTTTTGAACCTAAATGGTTTTTCTTTCCAAATCCTCTCTTACCGGAGCTGGGCATTGTGGCACATGCCTGTAATCCCAGCAGCTTGGGAGGCTCAGGCAGGAAGGTCTTGAGTTCAAAGCCAGCTTAAGCACTTAGAAAGGCCCTAAGCAACTTAGCAAGACCCTGTCTCTAAATCAAATATATAAAAAGAGCTGCAGTAGATGAATGGATAAAGAAAATGTGGTATATATATACACAATGGAATATTATTCAGCATTCGAAGAGAATAAAAACATGGCATTTGCAGGTAAATGGATGGAGTTGGAGAATATAATGCTAAGTGAAGTTAGCCAATCCCCCCACAAAAAATGCCAAAAGTTTTTTCTGATTTAAGGATGCTGATTCATAATGTGGTTGGGGAGGGGTGTGTGGCATGGGAGGATTAGATAAACTCTAGATAGGGCAAAGGTGAGTGAGGGGAAGGCTGGGGGCTTGGGGTGAGAAAGACTGTAGAATGAGATGGATGTCATTACCGTAAGTGCATTATGAAGACATAAATACTATGACTCTGTGTACAACCAGAGATATTTTAAATTGTGTTCTATATGTGTAATATGAATTGTAATACACTCTGTTGTCATATATAACAAATTAAAATAATTTTTTTTTTTTTTTTTTAAAAAGGGGCTGAGATGTTGCTCAGTGGTTAAGCACCTCTGAGTTCAACCCCTGGTACCAAAAAAAAAAAAAAAAAATCCCCTCTTACCACTTTGAATTCTGCTGACTGTACCTCTCAAACATATTTATGATAATCTGCACATTATGAGAAAAGGTAAATTTTATAAGTTTATGCTCTGCTAATTATAGATATTTATTACTGTATGACTCATTTATTTTTGTAACCACCTGTGGTCCATCCTTTGTTTTAATTCACACTTCTTACTAATGATGGTGTTGTGGAGGGAGACACTGAGATTAGGAAATTAATTTGTACTATTTCAGCCCATCTGTGAATGTAAAAACTTCCCTGTTGCCTTGCTGTGGTCCACCCCACCTGGTGTGGGACTGATAAATGACTGTCTTGACACTCACCCTTGGGACGGCATGGAGCTAACTCTCTGGTTCTTTCATTTCACCCTTAACAACAGCACAGCCTGTGGGGGGTGTTGGGGCGAGGTACCAGTATGCAAAGGGAACTCTGGTTTTTCCACTGGTTCTGATCTGCTGCCCATTTACTAACATGTGTACTGTATTTGCTTACAGACTGTAGGTAGACGTATAATGTAAAGCTTGGTTTAATAAACATTTAACTCTTCCAAAAAAAATAGTCATTTAATTATAAGAGCAACTCTCATAAAAAATAATCTTAAGAACAGCATAGAAGGGGAAAATAAGAGGACAGACACAAGTTCAGAAATATTTTTTCTTTTTAACCCAGTGAAAGAGGAAAAGAAGAGTGATATAATAGGCAAAGGATAAAAGTATAACATATACCTAATTAAAATTAATTTAAAAAGAATAAAAATATAAAGCTGGATTTTAAAAAAATCACCTATCATGTGAAAATTAAAGAAGATTATTTAGTAATGCTTATTAATAAGTTGAATTATAAATGTTTTAAAATGTGTACATATATGAATTTTTAAAATATTGTTTGCTGATGCATATGGTACTATAATCAATATGCAGATTATTTTATTACTATGGTAACTTCTTATCTTGTATGCGTCAATGTTTTTCTTGGACTTACAAAAACACATAGTGTATTCTTCATTAAGAGAAACATAACTTCTCAGTAGCATAACATAATACATCTTGCCAACAGACTAATACTTTATGCAGAAGGTTTTGTTTGAAGGGATCCAGTGTATTCTTTTAGTTGCACAGAATCTAATCTTCTTTTCACTGGTGAACAGCTGTCAAGTGTGAGATAAAGAAAACATGATACTGCTCTTCCTATTATCACGTTTCTATAAACAAATGACATGTTATGCTACTCATTTAGCTAAAAGAATTACTTAAGAGAAAGCTTCAATATTCAAAGGCATATTTTGGAACTTAGAAATTTTATTTTGAAACCATTCAATATTTTTAATCATAGCTTTTCTAGGCATCAGATGTGGGATACAAATTTGCCAACTGAGAAAATTTGCAAAGCTTCCTACAAAGAAAAAAAACCCAATTACTTTTTCTCTCCATGCCCTGGTTGTTTTGACCCAGGCAAAAGTGGGTCACCCCTCAATTTGAGCCCTGGTAAGTTGGCCAAATTAAAAACTTAAAACCTGAAAGAGAGTCCTAAAAACCATTTGCCAGCATTCTACCGTGCTCTGCCACAAAGAACTGAAAGAACTACAATTATAGCTCCCTATCACTGATCTGGCTTTATGACATTTCTATCATTTTACAAACTAATTTTAAAGCAGTTCCTTTGATTAAAAACTCTTTGTCCTCTGACCAGCAATATCATTTATGAATTTCCTAAAGCAAGAGAAGTTTAACAAAATTGATATTAACTTTAATAATATAATTCCAGAGAGGATTTACCACCACTCCCTGAAGTTAAACAAAAAGTTTTGCCCATGTACAATGTTTTCTTTCAATGACACCCCCAACTCCCTAAAAGTTAACCATTGTTCTGGCTGGCCTGTCCTTCTTTCTAAATGAAAGTTGGCCTTAGCTAGAAACCTGAATCGCATTGTCATATCACCCCTTCACACACTTGGTTTTTATTATTAGAACAAGGCTTTCATACATTAAAGTACACTACTTTTAAACCCCACTGCTTTGGATTTGAAGAAGGCAACAGATATTTTTGTTAATTTTGTTTAAAAATTTTAAGTAACTTGATAATTTAAAAAGATTATCTGAAATGCAAAATTATGAGACATAATAATAAAACAGATATCCAGTAACTCAAGATCTAGAAGGCGGAGGATGGGAACATGGGTACCACCGTTGTATCCCCCTTCCAATCCCATCTCTCTGCTTCCCCCCTTACACAGGAGTGTATTTTATGTAGATATGGATCCCCAAACAATATACTGTTTTGTATTACTTATTTTTTGAGCTTTATAACAATGGTATAATCCTTTTTAATCTTCTGTGCCTTGATTTTTATAATCAATCTTTGTTGCTAACATTCACTCACATTTCATGTGGTTGTCACTCATTTATTCACAACAGTTCTATATTTCATTCAATACCTCTAGTACGACTTATGTCTCCATTTTTCTTTCAATGAATATTTGTTTTGCTTCACCATTTTAAAAAATAAAACTCTAT